ATAGGAAAAAGACGGTTTACCTTGGGAATTGAAATCATCCATATCATAGATTGTGGAAGGTCTTTAATGTTGAGCGGGATTTTGATATCGCTCCAAAATCCTTGACCGAGGAAGAATTTATAAAAGACAACAACACATTAGTGTTGTCTTTGAAAATAACCAAAAAGGACTCATGCATAAAAATATATGAAAAAATAGATCGATGTTCTTTGATTTTTCATATGGGTATAGTCTCGATTTAAGATATTATCTTTATGTGATGCATGTGGAGAAAAATGTAGTTTGATTGGAATACTTCTCAACGTTCAAGACAAGACAAAAGATGGTAAGAACGTAATATAAATCTGGTGGAGATGGGTATAAGTCTAGAGTTATCTTAAAATAAATAGGCAAAAGAACATATTTGTCCTCAGCATGTCACACGATGTATAGAAAAGAAAAAATAAAGTTTTTGCGAGTGTTTGCAAGGTATCAAAGTTCCCCAAGGGTACTCTTCAAATGAAACTTGTACCAATAAAATATCTTAAATTAATTGATTTAAAATTTCAAGATTGTCATGTTTTGATGCAATAACTTCTAGCAATGGCTATTCGTGACATTTTTCCAACAAAAAAAAGTAAAGGGAACTATAACTAGATTGTGTTTATTCTTCAATGTTACTTATAATAAAAACATTGATTCAAGAAATTTAGATGAGCTGGAACATGAGGCTACAATTATTGTGTCAATTGAAAATTTATTTCCCTCCGTCATTTTTTGACATTATGGTTCACTTAATTATTTATCTAGTCAGAAAGATTAGATTTTGTAGCCTAATTTATTTAAGGTTGATGTATCTGGTGGAGCGATACGTGGATACCTTTAAAGGGTATACGAAGAATCATCATCGTCCGGAAGTTTTGATCGTTGAAAGATACATCATAGAAGAAACTATTGAGTTTTGTTCAAACTACTTGTCAAAAGCAGACTCTATAGAAATTCTTAAGTATCGTCATGATGGAAGATATGAAGGTAAAGATACTCAAGGTTTAAATGTTAAGACAATGGTTAGAGATGCAATTCTTCAAACACATTTGTATATATAGAATAATGTTGATGAAGTTCAACCTTACTTATTCGTCCACAAAAGACTTACCAAAGAAAATTTTCCCCATGATGAGTGAAAAATGGATGTTGACAAAGCATAACAAATATTTTATAAATTGGTTTAATGAAAGGGTTTCAAAAGATAAGAGTGCATTCGAGACAATTAAATGGATGTCAGGTATGCCTAAATTTAATGTAATAACTTGGAGTGCATACGACATTAGTAAATTTTCATTTTATACAAAATCTATGATCGTAGTACCATGCAAAATAGTAGGGTTATGGTTGAGGCTGAATCCATGTACTTGTCTAGTTTCAAAGATAAAAATTCGGTAATGGTATTTAGACCATAGTTTGAGGTCATTGATGAATTATGACTCACATGGGATGATCTTCCTAAGGCAATTATGAATGAACCATTTATCATGGCATCCTAAGGAAAACAATTTTTTTATGTCAGTGACCCTTCTAATAATAGATGGTCAATTGTTCTACAAAGAAAACATATTCTTGAGAATTCCTAATAATGATGAAAATAAAGATTTAAATTTTGATATTTCTTGCATTACCTTTTGTACCCAACAGTTAAGTCAATTCTTGTATACTCTTACCATGACTCACTTTAATGCAACTTGCAAAATTCTTAAATACCTCAAAATATGCTTTAGTCGAGGCATAATGTTTCCTAGAGATCCAGTTGAATGGATATTCTGGTGTAGATTGGGCAAAGTGTCTTGACCCTTTCAAAAAAATAATTTTTCATTGGCAAATCATTGATCTCATGAAAAAACTAGGAAATAGTTCACAGTTTCAAAATCTTCATCAGAAACTGAATATCGTGCATTTGCGGCTGCAACATGTGAGTTACAATGGTTATTTTATCTCAAAAGATCTTCAAATCAAATCCATTAAAATACTTGTTATCTATTTTGACAATCAAAGTGTTTTGCACGTTACAATTAACCTTGTCTTCCATGTAAGAACTAAACATCTTGAAATAAATTATCACCTTTTCTTCACAAAATCATTGCACCCTTAACCATTTCGTACTCTATTACTTAAGTTGAAGATGGTAAATATATACTAGCCTTCAACCTTCAACTTGTGGGGAGATATTGAAGCATGTAGTTGACCAACCAAACAAGCCAATTGGAATTAGTTAGGATGCTATAATAGTTAGTTAATTTTCTATTACAAAACAGTTAGAGTGTTAGGTGTGACTGATACTTGCTAATCAAGTAAGTAATGATAGAGTGTTGCATATCTACAGTAGCTTAGATGCAAGTCACCACTTTGTATATACTTCATCATTGTGAATGATCCAAGCTAATAAAATAAAATAAAAACTGTCAACATTTCGATTTCTCAATAACTTTCATATTGTATATTTAGTAACCCCTTAGGTCGCATGTGAAAAACTCCTTCGAATTCACTCTCATCCTTCATGAAATAGATTATCTTACCAAATTTCAAATTGTCTTTATAACAATAATAATTTATTGAACTAGCCAAAATAAGGTATGAAGTCCCACGTGAAAATTTTATTTTGAAATACAATTATTGAGAATATATAATAGAAAGAAAATAAAATATCCGCTTTTAGGAAATTTTGTAGAACTTAATTAAACAAGAACAAACCCTTCATATATTTTTTGGCTTAATATCATAATTATTTAACCTCAATACAAATATAACTTGAAATGGTTCTCATATTTTATATTTTCTAACACTGATTGGATACTAGGACAATAATAGCCGTCTAGACTGAGAAACATAGCAACAAGAATCCAAACCTTTTCCAAGTTCATACACAGCTTTACACGACATGTCCAAGGTTGTATTGCATCAAACTATATAGTAAATCACATCATACATCATATCTCTAGATATTATCAAAAGAATATCAAACATAGATACCCTTGTTATTGTCTTCAACTAGAATGACTAATTAGGTAGTACTGTACTAAATTCAACATAGAAATGTATCTAATAATCCATTTCCATGCCATAGCTACAACACTTCTATCAATCTCAACTTCACAATGGGGTTTCCCCTTTTTGTTCTTCAACTCATCACTTTTTCAGTTCTTGCTATAGCTCAAGAAGAACCTAAAGGGACCCCCAAAGATAATAGTGAAGTCCAAGATAAACAACCTTCAAGTAATAAAAACAATTCAAATCTTTTATTATTAATTCTCAATGTGGTTCTTCTTCTTGCAATCATATTGCTATTGATTCTTTACTACAACACATCAAAGAAACTCAATAGAATAGTGAAAGGACACATTAACAACATGTCTTATGAACAAGAGAAAGATGTTGAGACAAGTATTGAGAAGAGGGTTGAGATAGGAGAAGGGACAACAATGATGACAGTGGAAGAGAGAAAGGAACTTATGTTCTTTAATGATGAGACAAAGTTTCAAATGGGGGAACTTCTTAGAGCTTCTGCTGAGTCATTAGGACATGGAATTATGGGGAATAGTTATAAGGCTATGTTGAATGATGGACCTAACATTGTTGTTAAGAGGTTAAGGGACTTGAAACCATTCACTAAGGAGGAGTTTGCTAAGATGGTTAAAATGATTTCTGATCTTAGGCATCCTAATTTGTTGCCTTTGCTTGCTTACTATCATTCAAGAGATGAGAAGCTTATGCTCTATAGATATGCACAGAATGGAAATCTTTTCTCCAAACTTCATGGTAATTTACATCAACTTGGTCCTTTTTTTAGTTTTTATTATGAGTTTTTACCTTTATTATTAGTCCATTTTAGATTATATGTGCATGTTAAAATTTTACATAGTCTTATAATAGTAACCAAACTTTGCATCACTTTATTTTAGATGGAAGAGATGGAAACAGGGTTCCATTCAACTGGAACTCAAGATTATCAGTGGCAAAAGGAGTTGCTAGAGCACTAGAGTACCTTCACCTCAACAACAAGATCCATAACATAGTCCCTCATGGAAATTTGAAGTCATCAAATGTACTATTTGATGAAAACAATTCAATTCTTGTATCTGACTTTGGCCTTTCCTCCTTAATAGCACAACCAATTGCGGCTCAACATATGGTTGTTTACAAATCCCCTGAATATGGTTATGCAAGAAAAGTTACAATACAATCAGATGTTTGGAGCTATGGATCACTCTTAATAGAAATCCTAACTGGGAAAGTTTCTCTCTGCTCAGCTCCACAAGGGATTAATGGTGTGGATCTTTGTAGTTGGGTTCATAGAGCTGTGAGAGAAGAATGGACTGCTGAGATATTCGACAAAGAAATATCTTGTCAAAAGAGTGCTCTTCCTGGAATGTTAAGGTTGTTGCAGATAGCAATGAGATGCATCGAGAGGTTTCCAGAGAAACGTCCTGAGATGAAAGAGGTGGTTAGAGAAGTCGAGAAAATACAACAGATACACTTGATGTCTGAAGATGACGATGATGTTTCTTGTGATAGGTCTCTGACCGATGATTCCTTTTCAACTAGTAACTCAGGGATTTTTATCGGAGATGACAGATAGATCGATAGATAGATAGATTATCATATCATAGATTGGATATCTAAACCAAAAACATATTGTTCCTTTTGTTTTTGGTATCATGGTATAGAGCTCCAAAAGAATAAAGTTACATACTTCTATGCATGTTTGTTTTTGTCTCTAAATGAAGACTTAAACCCATTACAATACATCATATATTGCTCCCTTATGATCAGCACAAATGTAAAATGTGCATCAGTGTCATGTTACAAATTACAAATGTACATCAGTGTCGTGGCATTCAATGCAAAACTGGACCACAAATTTAAAATGAGATCTAAATAGGTTTAAAATAATTATAAAATATCTTATTAGATGGCGTGAAAACTATAAACTACAACAACATGATGCGCTAAACCTGGTTTCACAATCACTAGGTGTTACCCCCTAAAAGCTTTTTCTCTACATCCGTAGAAGAATCTTCCTGAAAGACCTGATTCTCAGCCTTTACTGGATTGATAGATGGTTCATGTATCTGTCAATTAAACCAGAAGATGAGGCTAGGACCAAACAATAGCATTATACTTTACTGAAATATGTCAAAATTCATGAAAGCATACCACGGAACTGGTTTTGAAAGGTGCAATATCATTTTGAAGAACCGTTGATTGATTGGTGGGCCTGTGAAACAATAAGTGTGCTATAGACCTATCAATCGGATTTGTGTTGGTTTCAATATCCATGAACCCTGTACACCTGAATGACAGAAAATAATATTTTTAGAAACACTGCTGCATATGCGGATAACCAGAACGCACAACTAGCAATACTCGAAATAATGCTACACAATCACTCAAACTCTGGTATCTCTTCATAATAGCTACCGTGTTATCGAGACAGATGACTCTGATGTAATAAAAGTGAAGTACCTGCTTGCATCCTGAGCCATTGTGTCTTTGAATGCTTCAGTACCATCTTCAGCGATGCCTTTTGGACTTGAATTATCATGTCTTTGCTCAGAACTCTTAGCTAAGCGGTATAAACTGTCCCTTATGCACAGTTTGGTTCTAATATCCAACTGCAATCGAACAAACAATAAGTGACAGATATAGATAATAACCATAGGCTCGTTCAGTTTACAAAAACATTTTCAATTTTCATTTTAAATTACAAAAACTTTATCACGTTTTCATTATGTTGTCTGTTTTCAAAATTTTGTATAGAAAACACGTGATAAAAGTTTCGTTGAAACAAAGTAAAAACAGGTGGAAGTTTTAAAATTAAAAATGAACATAAGAAAAAAGAAATATAAACAAAAAACGCTTTTGTAAACTTGAACATCGTAAAAGATTCTAATACCTGATCCAACACCTGTTGCAGGTGGTAAAAGCTATTTGCTTCAAACGAGTTTTGGTCAAGAGCAGAGCTAATGGGTGAGCTTTCCTGTACAGATGATGAGTCTATTTCTGATGAAAATCCTAGACTAACCCCTCGAACTTTACTTTGACCTTCATTTTCATTTTCAAACTGATGAGCTACCAGCTGAGAAGAACCTGGACTGTAAAATGGCATTTCATTTGCCCTTCTTTCATTTTTGAAACTCCTACTTAAGAGGTGTTCATCATGGCTATGATACTTTTCCCTCTTCTCATTTGTTTTCAAGGCAGAAGCCTCCGAAGAGTGACCATGATAACTCTCCGTGTTTGAAGCATAAGATGATTGTATAAAAGGAGGCTGATGTCCATCAAGCTCAGCTCCTGGTCCATAGAAAGACAGAGAGAGGGAAGTGTGATTTGGAGCATGACTAAAGCCTGGGTGCGTTAAAGGAATTTGTGTCGGTATGCAGCCTAAAGAATCATAATCAATGTTCTGCTTATGCCTCTGATTACTATCAAGAGAAGTAACTCCACTAGAAGAGGCTCCAAAGTGCTGATTTATATCTCCATATTCCTCAGGAGAATTGCCAATTTTTCGCTTTCCTGATGACGACTTTGGAAACTTCTTCTGCAACTAGTAAAAAGAAACTATTGGTGATATACAAATTAAAAAAGAATTTATTAATTCAGTTTACAGCTTCACGCTAATAAACTGCACCAGGCATTCAGAAACTAACCCACCCTTGCTATCAAACTTGCATTGTAAACACGACAAACCCAACAAATTACCCTCAAAATGAAAGAATTTATTTGAGTCCTGCACAATGGTCAAGCACAATTTCCCATTAAGTGAAAATAGTGAAACATGAAAAAACATTATTCACAACAAATAGTGTGATTACTAGATTTCCCAAAATGCACGCTCAGTATTAGTTACAACTATAATCAAGATAAAAAGAGTAAGGCCATGAATATACCATAAAACCATCTTAGGAAAACTATATACTAAAATATTTTAGTTTCTGTAGAATTTCATTATTTCAATTCCTTAAATTAAAAAATGAGGGTGGAGTTTTAATTTGTTTTTAGAATATGTGACCTATGAGGTCAGAGGCGCATGTCAAAATTACTTTTTCATGTGCCTTTGAGAGGATCATCATATGGAAATTTGTATGAGCCCTGTGTTACAATAAAGAAACCACATCGAAATGATAGCTTCATAACTTGAAATTCAAGAATTCAGAACCCAAGTTAAAAAGAAGGCAACCAACAAACCTTTTCTTCGGGCACCAAGGCATCTTTATGACCGGATTTTGTGTCTAATTCACTGAACATTGATAACGAAGCAGCAACACCGTTGACATCCACCCCCGTTTGAGATCTTATCTTCTTATCATCGGGGGATGACTTTTTGTTCGAACCATTGATCGGAAGAACATCAATATTTTCCTTGGAGGAATCCATATTGTATCCTGATATGTTTTTTAATGGACTCATGTCTGCACAATGAAGCTTTAAGTCAGACATTAATGCATCATCGGAACCTTCAGCGCCATGCGAAGAAGAAAACCAACAGAACTCCTCTTCATTATTGAGACTCTCCATTCCAAAAGTTAAATCACAACTTCTGCAATTTAAAATCAATATTTAGATATTTATATAACGATTGCAACAAATCGATTAGTTTTTCAGACAAAGGGAAAGATGAGTAAAATTCTGTCAAATTGGAAGATTTCTTACAACATCCTGTCAACATCTTCTAAGTTTCCTATATCCAGCCACCCATCATTATCAAGAAAGCTGAGTTCATTATCAGCTTGAGATGTGTGGTTTTTTGGATGTTGGCGTGCACTATCATCTTCCACCACACACTTGTTTTCTGAGATGGTATCATCTGCACAAAGCTCACTGCCACCAGAATCTATATTGCTGCTCTTGAAAAAATGGTCAGACATGCCTGTATCATCTAAAGTTAGCCTTTTTTCTTCTCTGTATGAGTCACCATCACATGAAGAGAATACACCTTCAGGTGTGTCAGACCATGAATCCTTTTCTGGCATTCTTTCATTCTGGTTCATATTTTGCAAATATAATTCCTCTTTACCCAGAGTACCATAGCTACTAACACAATCGCTACTCCTTATACCACGTAATTCGTGAAGTGATTTCTTACAGCCATCACCCTCGATAACAAATTGATTATTTTGTGGGCTACCAGAACGGGGGACTATGAGATCATCATTCTCAATCTCATCAAATCCATCCCACACATTATCTTCAAACTGTAACACAAAGATAGATATTTAGCAAATTTCTTATAGTAACCTGGCATGACATGATATGGCAAATCCATACGAACACAAATCTAACCCAATAAAGAGATAAATAGAAAACATCGAACTGGTATGTTCGACAAAAAGATAATCAGTACAGCAATCGATAATAAGTTTCAAATTTACCATTTAATAAGAATTGTATTCTGTACACCCACCACCAATCCACAATAAGTTTCTAAAGGCAGTATTTCTGGTGTCTTAATAGCTACCAAGCCACTTCTGCATCCGTAGCACTTTCGAACTTAGTTTGCACAATAGCCTGCTTTTAAGGTTATGCTACAGACTAAAAGAGAATCAGTACAGCAATGTAGACGTCAAACAAGCCCATAATAGATAGTGATATCATCAAAAAATTACAGAATAGTTCGCATGATGAGTATCAGATACACATTATTTGATTATCTCCAAGATCTACCACCGAGCATTAGCAATAGGTCAGCATATTTATCACAATTCCTCCCGGTACAAACTGCTCAATGTTGACTTCATTGTTTTAGAATGATGTACATAGAAATGCTCACTAGGGAACAAAGCCAAAGATGTCACACCATAGGGATTCCAGTGAAAGGAAAATCATTTTAATGAATATGTTACTGGAACAAAAAGAAACAAACTCTAACTATGCTGAAAAATCTTTAACCTATATGATTCTCAATGACAGGTTATCTGAAACAAGATGAGGAATTCTTTTGATTGATTTTAGTCAGAAGAAATTTGTAGTTAATTTGCATCTTATACTGTGAGATTACCAATGTAACAAGCTTACTCTAGATTAGGTTTGAGATATTTTCCAACCATCTAAACAAGTTCAGGATTAAAAAATGTCATCATATTTGCGGTCTTATATGGAAACGAATTAGGGCTGACTGTTTTTCTGCGTCGTGTTAAGATCAGAATTTGAAGTGGAAACAGTAAATACAAGCCGTGGTGCCACGTAAGTATATTGTGGCAAGGCCGCAAAGTAATATTGTATTTCATAGTTCATACCTCAAACATGCAGATGTTTGACATTCCTCACAGATCTTCTACCCCTCTCTAATGATACATTCAAGGCTTGGCATGTCATGTTTATTTAGCAAACCTGTCATCAAAGATGTTTTTCAATTACAGAATACACCAATCATAATACATACCCAGAGTCGCAAATTTGAAAAACCAACTAAGGAACAAAACAATTTATGTCAAGTGTTACAGATATAATTGCGGAAACACACAAGGCTTATACATGATCTTAGTATAGCACCACTGGTGGTAGAGGAATTTCAAAATCCAATCACTAAAACACTTTCTAAATTAGTCAGAACTCACAAACCCATTGTATCATTGTATTTTTTTAAGGAATTCGAATCTGAGACTTTAAGTGGAGCACACTCTCACCCAAGTCTTCACCAAGAGGCCAACTCTTGAATATTGCATGTGAAAATAAGTTGTTTTCATAAGTCTCCCAAACAGTGTTACAAGTGCTTATACTAGTAGATAAGCTCAAATAAGTCAACCCAAACAGACCCTAAGTTCAAGCAACTTCAACTTACAAAACAGTAACTAATAAATACTAAAAGTTATATAAGAAAAAAAATTGAAGATCCAGAATAATGAAAATTAATTTCCACCGTTTCCTGTTCATCCAAACACTTCACCAACCAGATTTCTATGTTCTAATCAAATCAAAAATTCAAGACTCCATAAATCAAACTTACAAAAAGTAAAAAATTGAATAAAAATCACAGAAACTAAATTCAAAAACATGAATCCATAACTACTAACTTAAATAATAATAACAATAAAAGCAAATCTCAAAGATATAAACAGAGTGATTTAGAACCTAGTTAGCTTAATTAACTTTAATATAAGTATATAATCATAAAACTAATCTTAAAAAGAGTACGAAGAAGCTCAGTGTTTCTTCTTGAGTCATATTTTTCTTCATATTCATAAAGTAGAGAGAAAAAAGCGAAGTTACCAAAACGTGAAATCAGCAAGAAGTGATTATTGAGAGCTTTTTTTCACTTCAAGCGTTGTTTGGGTTGGGAATTGGGATTCCTTTTCTTTCCAGACCCTTCTTTCCTATCCCACTTCAACTTGCACGAAGAAGTTTTTTGTTTTTTTAATTTTTTTTAAAATATTAATTTGATTTTTAATTTAGGTATAAGAGATATCACGCAAAAATCGACACGTGGCATGAAAATGGTTGGGAAATATAGTTCGTGGTTAGGAGGTGGGTGTTTAAGATCCGATCCGTTACTGAGTTTTTATTGGTCCACGTGGTTTTTCATTTTTACTACTGGACACGTGTCTGGTGGTTTTTCGTTCTATCGTAGGCACGTGCGTTCATATAATTGTATTTTATAGATACCACTTGTGTTGCCTTTATTTTCGAATCTCCTTTTTTTTTCTCGTCCTTGGAAAATGGTTTTGTGTAATTTTTAAATTATGAAAATCGTACCAAGCAAATACTATAGTTTAGTTTTCTTTTATAATCTTATCAATTTGGTTGAAGGAATATAGGAAGTGTATTCTACCACTAATATGATATGATAAATTTATGTGATTAATGAAAGATGTGTATTTTAAATTTTACAATTATAATTAATTGTATGTATAATTTTGTTTTAATTGCGTTTAAACTTTTGGTTTTAATCTTTTTAAATATGATATTTTAATTTTTTTTTAAGATTTTTGTAAAATTAATTTATAATAGAATTAGCACTTAAAATATACAAAGCATTTGATTTTATTAGTTCTTCAAAATTTAATATTTCATGATATTACTAACTAAATAGATCAATTCTGATGTATATTAATTTTATAAAAATAACAACCAAAAACAAAATAGCATATACTTATAAATATAAAAAACAAACAAATAAAACCATAGACTAAAATTAATAAAATAATATATTTTTAAGAATCAATTATATATTTAAATTTAATTATGTCATTCCATCAATTAGTCTCTACAATAAATAAATATAATATTAATAAAGTAATGAATATTACATTCAACCATAAAAAGGACAAATAAATATCAATACAATATGCAAATGGAACATTTTAAATGAAAAAGAGGGATTATATGCTTTAAATAATTAAACAAAGAAGCAGTAATGCAATAAACAAAAGTTCTAATTGAACTTATTGTCTCTATTCTTTGGTACACAAACTTGTGCACAGAATATCCAAACATGATATAATGAAAAATTGTTTTTACAATAACAGCCAGTTACACAGTACACATTCTCAGCCAGTGAGATAATCATCATTAACAATAAAATTCAACAACTTGAAATCGTACAAGACAACAAAATAGTACATTCATAATTCAAATGAGAGCAAACTGTCTGGCTCATTGTCTCTCTCTTTTCAAAAATTTGCTTAGCATCTAGATGGATAAGCAATTCTGAACAGATTTTGATCATCGGTATGGTTATTAGCATCCCAACTTACACTTAAATAACCATACAATGCATATAATTATAGTGCCAGACTCCAGATGCTAAGGGCCAATATACATCATTTCTTCAAAAGGGAGAAAATCTTCTTGGAATACAGGCTATCTCGACAAATTGTTTTGTAGGACTCAATTGTTTCAACCAGAGAATTATACACATGGCCCTGGCCCTAGTGTAGAAGTAAACACAAAACTAATCAGAAATGAAATTTAGTTCCTCTAAAGTCAAATCTAAATAAGAGAAACCATAAGGTTCATTGATCAAGACCGAAAATGTTAAAAGCATGACTATGAAACAGAAAATGAAGTGTGTGAACAAACCTCAGAACATCGAATCTAAAGTCAAATCTAAATAAGAGAAACCATAAGGTTCATTGATCAAGACCGAAAATGTTAAAAGCATGACTATGAAACAGAAAATGAAGTGTGTGAACAAACCTCAGAACATCGAAGAGCCTTCTGAATGACATAATTTGCTTGTGGATCTTGAAGCAATTGGTCAAAGTGAGGATCAGAAAGCAGTTCATGAATGATTTTCGCCCGATGCTCGTCATCGAATAGTTCAAGACATTTTTCAACCACATGACTACTGTACCTCTGCCTTGACATGTGTGCGTAACTACCTTTAAAATGCAGAGTCAAAGCTGTGGCAGCAGATGGAATTTTTAAGTCCAAGGTGCATTGAACAACATAATTTCTGCATAAGAGAACAAGCATTAAGAGATCAAAGGGTTGGAAAATGAAAAAGGGAAAGTATAACATGAATTCAAAATATGAGGAAAATATTTGATGTAGAATTATCCCTTCAATAAAAGTGATCAACTTGAATTTTCAAGTGCATTGCTTCATCACATGGTTTAAGAAATTCCGTAATTGAATAAACATGTTATAACTATGGACTCTAACCAAAAATATTGAATACTTTTTGCAGATAATAAGTGGAAAATCTTAAAAGCAAAAATTATGTACCAAATTTATATTTTTAAGAAAAGTATTTCTACTGATAGTTACCCGTATTTATCTTGAGCTAGCAAAAGAGCATTAGCAAATATTTCTGCAGCAAGTATTTCTCTATGCTCCCCGCTTGAATAACGAATGCATTTTTGTAGAACACAGCATCCATGTTGATGAGTTGCAATGTCCACGCAATACTTGACAGCAGCAACATAGATAAACTGCTCAGTGTAAAACAACATAAAAATGTAACTTTTCTACAACAAAATATCAATCAATGCACAAACATATCTGCCTAAATGATTTGAAAAACAAGTCATACCTTGTTATCTTCATTGCTTAGGCATTCCAAACAATGCTGAACCACGTGATTACCGTGAAGGTCTTTTATGAGGGTCAGGGATCCCGGTTCAAGAGCCGACACAACTAATGAAGTTTGTTGCTCGATTTTGAGAGTCTCAATCAGTTTCTGAACAACACGGGTGCTGGGAGAAAAATGAAGACAAATTCAATGTTAGACAATCAATAAATTATTTCATGATTTGACTCTTTATAGTGAATAAATAGTAAGAGTAAAAAAGAAAAAAAAATTGATATTTCAACACACCCATGATTCATGATAAGCTATGCAAGTAATGTAATACCAACCATCGATGTATTCATCAATGGTTGGTATTAATCACTTTACATCATCTAAAGTGAGTTGCTCACTTAGTCACTTTAGAGGAGCCAAATTCATTATTTCAATACATGTAAAAATTGCATAATTACCCGTGAGCATTTAATGAGATTTCCACAAGCTGCCCCGGCTCCTGAATCACCATGATTATGATCTTCATCCTTTGCTCTTCACTACAGACATCTAACAACTTCTGTACAAGATAATTTCCAAAAGGACTCGTCATAAGTTCGACCATATGATCAATGATCTCGTCAAATATGATTTGAACATCTTCATTTCTCCCCTCTTCAAACATTCTTTGCAGGTACCTGCAGCCATTTTGATCCTGGGTCATTAAATATATGACCCCTCGAGCTTCCGACAGGGAATTATAATTAGGTGGCAAAGCGAATGGAGCCTCCAACAGGGAATTATAATTAGGTGGCAAAGCGAATGGAGCTTCTGATAGAGAATTATAATTAGGTGGCAAAACGAATGGAGCTTCTGATAGAGAATTATAATTAGGTGGCAAAACGAATGGAGCTTCCGACAGCGAATTATAATTAGGTGGCAAAACGAATGGAGCTTCCGACAGCGAATTATAATTAGGTGGCAAAGGGAATGGAGCTTCCGACCGGGAATTATAATTATAATTAAGCGGCAAAGTGAATGGAGAACCAATCTTAGAACTCCTAGGAGTTTCACATGCTCCCATAACCGGCTGCTGAGTGTCTACTTCTGACTTATATAGATGCTTAGGAAAGCCAAATTCACGTGCAGTATTTTGACACCAACGATCCGAACTCCCAGCACCAACATACCTTAATCCCTCATCACCCTGTAAGATGAAGCTCCCCTCCCTTCTAACAGCATCTATATCCATATTTCCTTGTGGGATTCTTCTGGCAATTGAAGGTGGCATAACTCTATCTATATCCATATTTCCTTGTGGGATTCTTCTGGCAATTGAAGGTGGCATAACTCTAGCACTAGGCCTAAAATCAGTTCCAAGAGAATGAAAAGGCAATCTTGCCATTCCAGGTTCTTGTAAGAAATTCATTCCATAGTTCTGTGAATGAAGTGGAGCATGAACAGCTGAATTTCTTCTACTAAAGTGTGGTTCAACAGTCTCATGTCCGAGAGTTCCTCTATAATGCAGGTTTCTTTGGTAAGAGGATCCCGTTGAACTTGAAGCACCAAAGTCATTCAATTGAGAGTACGAAGTGCCACGCTCGCATTGCCCTGAATAAGACTGTGATGATCTAAATGAATTAGCTACTCCATAATCTCGCCCTGAATAAGACTGTGATGATCCAAATGAATTAGCTACTCCGTAATCTCGAGCAAATGCTGAATTACGATGACTGATAGGGTTATTCAAGAAAGGGGACTGAAACCTCGCAGAATCAGAATCCACTGAACTACCAAAGCCATTCAACTGAGAGTACATAGTGTCGCGCTCGCGCTCTAAACAAGACTGTGATGATCCAAATGAATTAGCCACCCCGTGATCTCGTGTTAATCCAGAATCCACAGAATTACCAAAGCCATTCAAGTGAGAGTATATAGAGTCGCGCTCGCGTTGCTCTGAACAAGTCGGCAACAATCCAAATGAATTAGCCACTTCAAATGAATTAGCCACTCCGTAATCTCGTGTAAATGCAGAACGTATTTGAGCTCGACTAGGACCGATAGGGTTATTCAAGAGAGGGGATTGAAACCTAACAGAGTCAGAATCCGATAAACCATTCCTAGAACTATTATAATCTACACTAGGGTTATCTTTTTGATTACTAGTGTACATTCTACTGAAATTGCTACATAAATCAACAAACCTATCAGTTCCATGGCTGGAATCAGGATTCTTAGGGTTATAGAAGGTTCTGGTTCCAGCTCCGGCTCCGGTTCCGATTGCAGTGGTGGTTGATTTAGGATCCTCCGTTAAAGGTGGTGTTGGTGTTCCATAATCAGAAAAAAAGCTAGAAGAAGAACCGTTTTCAGATTGCATTGAAAAACCACTGACAGTTACAGGTGATTTCAATGCCTCTTCATCATAACCCCTAACACCATTACCATTACCATTACCATAGTTTCCTTGATTCTGTTTCATTACAAATGAGGATACAAGATCGTGATCATAATCATCATGATTACGATCAAGATCATGATCAAGATTTTGGCAAGGATTAAGAAAATCATCTTCATCAGACGATGATGTTACCCTAGGGATCTCATTGAGCAACAATTCAAGCTCTCTTCCATCATCCTTCACGTTCTCTATCATCTTTTTCAACAATGATTTCTACACTCACTGAAACACTGAAAAGTGAAATCAGAGAAAATGGAAAAAGAAACTATGAATAAATAAATAGAATAAAATTAGATTGATGATCCTATGGTTAGGGTTTGGAATGATAATATGAGAGTGAAAATTGGAATTGCATTTAATCTATGATCGCAAATTGGATTTTGATTTTAAAGAGTTGGTGAAGCATGCAAAGTGAAGATTTATACTGGAAAACCGGAGGTGTATGTTACACACCATAACAAATAGAGCAGAGGATTTAAACGAACTAACACTACGCTGCGTGAGTAATAAGTCTTCCCCGCAACAAACTCTCCCTTTTTAATTTTTAAACTTTGACTTTTTTCCACGTCATTGTTATTTATTTTTAATTAATATAATTTGGTTTTAATGAGTCAATGTTATAGAGTTATTTACTTGAGCACCTTACGGTATCACCTTATATGTTATTACATTTTTGTACACGTGTAATTGTATTTTTTTTATTAAATTATTTGTAATTGTTAATTAATATTAACGTTAAAATGTATTTTAATTCTTTGAAAACTAAGCTCGGTCCCTTATAAAAAAAATGTTATTCAGTTTTCTTACTTTCTATTTTAAGAAAACTATTTTCAGTACTAGAAATATTTTATTTGATAGTAGTGTATACTAAACCATTTGAAGACAAAAAAACAAAACTGTATCCATGTCATTAATTTATAGAATAATTTTTAATTTATTATAAATATTTTTTAATTTAAATTATGGAATAGTTGTGATAATGAATTGAAAGTAGTTACATTTAAATTTTGGATAGTTTTAATGAAAATTAATAAAATTAAACTTGAATGCTTGTAATTTTATAAAGGTTAAAAATATATGTTTAGATTTTATACTATAAGAGAAATAAAAATAAATATTAAATATGTCTTAAACTTAGTATTTTCTTGTGATTTTTTTGTTTCTTCTTATAAAATTCCTTTAATATTTTTATATTAATTATTTATGTATTAATAAACTCTTAATTATATTATTTTTTTAAACTTAAAATAAATATTATAATAAAAATACAAATTAATTATCCCTCTAGAAGGTTGTACCAAAACAATTATTAGTATTATAAAATAATATTAATTGTTAATGAATTAATATGGTTAATAACTCTTTTTTCTATTATTAAAAAACTAATAAGTTTCTTATAGCTATGATGATTTGATCAATAGAGGTTGTGTATAAGGACAAAGGGAGTATATTTTAGAAAGAATTTATGTTGTTGATATCTACAAGATAGAAAGAAGTACTCTCCAAATTGTATGGTCTTTTTGAGGTAACTTCCATCTAAACATTAATTTTCAATAAACAAATAGTAATCTACCATGTCTCTAATGTCCTCATTTTAAAGATTGTACTTTCTTTTCTTTCCATGTAATCGGTTTTTTTAAGTTTATCAAAATATTTTAAGGTTTCTTTAAATACCACAAGTATATTGAAAGAAAAAAAAGGTTAATATCAGCTACAAGAATGCTTTAAAAAAATGGGTTTTCAATCCACTTCTCATTTATGGAAAATTTATGATAATTTTTTAATGCACCGTGTATGTATTTTTAGATATCATGTAAAAATTGAAAAATATTTTAATTTTTAGAGATGAATTTTCGAACGCACTCTAATATATATTTAATAAAGACCATTTTGAGCTATGCGTCTTATTTTTTGGTTTATTTTATTCTAAAAATCCATCTCCGAAATGTTTCCGTAGTTACATTTCTGTAACACAGAGACATCAGTAGTAGAGTCGAAATTATGTAATTTTCTAAAATCAAATTAAGATTCATAATACATAGATCATTTCAATATTAAATGCAACACTATCTAGATGACGCTTTAACATCTTTGCAATATCTTCGACCGATTTTGAAAACGTTGCTTCCAACTCGAGCGGAACTTTAATTTCGAAACGGAAATATGTATTCCACATAGTCCTTACATCTGCTTGCGTCTTGAGCTCAAATTTGTTAAACTCAATCTTCCCTTCTGTTGTCAATCGACGATTAATGGTACTCGAGCTTCACAATCCTTTGATTGTCTCCGTGAGGTAGGAGATGGTGGATTTCCCCTTTGATATCTTCGAGGGATGTGAAATCGGTGAGCTTAAACGAGCGCCCAGGTGTAGAGTTGGAGGATGAGACATTTGCGACATACCAATTGATATTTATTTGTGACATTTGAGACATTTTCAGTTTATGTGAAATATAACATAAGAGCACCTTAATTATAGAAGACATTGATGAATATGGACCACTCAATAACTGACATGATGATTATGGAGATATTTGTTTGATTCTGCACCCTATTATCTTGTTCTGGAAATGCATCTCTAAAACTTCTTATGGACCAGTTCTAAAACAAAACCCTTAAAACATAACCTTGTTTTTTTTTACAAAAGAACAAATGTTATGTGGAAGATCAAAAATGCATTAAGACGCAATATGAACAAATGTTGAATATATTACACTTCATTTATATTAAGACACAATTACATATACTTATATGTCCAATTAAACAAGAAATTAAAATGAATCAAACCATTTGTCGTCGGCTAAATCTATGGGTGGTACCCGTTGGACTTTTGTGCATTTGATTATTTTTCAATGTTGTTAAATTTCTTGAATTCTTGCATCTTGTTGCGACGCGAAAAATACTTAAGTGCATCACACGCTCGAAAATACATCAGAGTCACCACTGAACTTTATTTATTCCAAAGAAAAGGAAAAATATCATTAAAACCCAAGAGGAAGAGAAATGGGTAAGAGAGTCAGTCATGCGAGGGAAAGGTATTAGCATCTCTCACATTTGTTTTACTCAACGGGAACTGTTTTGATTATTCTCTGCGTGAATGAGTGTTATTATCTGAAGGTTACTTGCGATTGAGGAAAAAATAAGTTTTTAATTAATGTGCTCGCCAAGGATTTAAACCCTCGTGCCTACGTATTCTCATAGTGCAATGAGAAAATCAGAGCTTTGTAATTCATGGTAGAAAATACGAATTTGTTGGTTGTTGTTAGGGAATAGTTATAATTGTATCCTAGAAGTGTGTAGACGTTAGCTGATTTGATCCTTGTTCGGTTGCTCCAAGCTTTTAATATGACTGCTAAGGAACAAATTAAAATAGTTTTTTTTATGAAAAGAAAGAAAATTATTTTGAAAAAAGTTTGTGTGATAAAAAGAAAAAGAAAATGTTGCTTGAATTGAACTAACATGAGAGTTTGTATAGAAAATAGTTGTGAAGTGTTGTAGTGAAAGTATTGTTTGAACCAGGAGTGTGTTGTTGAACCCATAGATAGGTATATCTTATCCAAAGAGTGTCGCATTAACCAATAGTTGGTGATTAGCCAATGCAGGATTGTAGGATTTTGCTTAGACTCGGGGATCAAGACCTACAATAGAGGGGATTTGCCTAAGCACAAGGCTTGTAGTGCATGAATGAGGGTTGTTAGAGCACAGGGCTCCACAGGGAAATGCATGAGAGTTGTCACATCACAAGGCTCCATGGGGAAATGCATGAGAGTTGCCAAAGCACGAGGCTCCACAGGGAAAAGTAAAAGAAAATGGTTTACCAGAGCACGTGGCTCTGTAGGGAAATGCATGAAAAGGAGTTTGCCATAGCATGGTGCTCCATAGGACAGTGCATGAAGGTTTCTAGAGCACGGAGCTCCACAGGGTAATGCATGAAAAAGAGTTTGATTCAGGCATGGGTGTTTAACCATGAGGTGATTAACTCAAAGAATGTATGGATGTCAAAAAGAATTGTGTTTGGTCCAAAGAGACAAGTATTATTGATGTTGATTGTTGTAGTGTGGTCTGTTAGGGAGAAAGTTTGACAGTTATTTGATTTGAATTGCAGTAAAGTCTATGAATGGAGGTGAGTATTTTGAACAACTAGTTCAGGCGTCTAGTATTCAAAGATGTTCAGAATGAGGATAGGAATATTCCCTCTCATTCCTTCTCCAATACTTATGGCTCATGGCAGGCAATTTGTAACAGTCCAATTTTCAATAATTAATTATTTGTGTTAATTAATTGGTTTATTTGGATTATTCTAATTATTTGAATGATTAGATGATTGTTTAAATGGATCGATAGATGTTTTGAGAGAGGGATTAAATTGTAGATAAACCGAAGGGAAGGATATATGAAGGGGGCAGAACGAAAATGTAAAATAGAAAACATGAAAGAAAAGTGGAGGAAGAAGAGAAAGTAGAAGGAAAAAGAAGGAAAAGCTTGGAAAGTTCAAGAACGACTTCTAACTTCCGATTAATCGAGGTAAGGGTGAGAAGCATTGTTATCTTAATCAATGTGTATGATTATGTATGTGTGTGTTTGGATTTGTTGGGTGTTTTCTACATTATCCATTCTAGGTCGGAATGAGTTTAATCGGTAGAAACCAAGTTCGAACGGGTAGAATCTGAAATTGACAGTGTAGTATAGTCGGGTGATGAGTGGGTTGTAATACTGGGACTGATTTGGATTAAATCGGTCAGGTTGTGAGGTTTGGGCTTTTGGACAGCCATGGAAGTTCTGAGTTCGCAGGCTCGCCAGGCGAATGGCAGCGAAGCTTCGCCGGGCGAATGGCAGCGAAGCTTCGCCGGGCGAATGGCAGCGAAGCTTCGCCGGGCGAAGCCCAGCGAGCAGCAGGCGAACCAAGTTAGAAGCACCCACCCTGTCTTTGCTGGCAAGTTCGCCAAGCGAATAAGAGTGGTGAAGGTTCGCCAAGCGAGTGTGCTAGCGAGTAATTCCAGAATAACTCCCAGTGGTCTTCGCTGGCAAGTTCTCCAGGCGAACGAAGTAGCGAAGGTTCGCCAGAGGCTTTGCCAGGCGAAGGTCATCGAATGTGACAACAATTGTTTTATTTTGGTTGGTTCCATCTGATGTTGATGTATTTGATATAATTATGTGATGTATAGCTTGTGCGCTATTATATGATGTGTTGTGGGTAG